GATAAATGAGTAATCAACTATTTGCTCATTTGGTAAATGAGCAAAAAATTGATTGCTCATTTGACAAATGAGCATCTATGTTTTAATTTACTGCATGAAAGGACTTTTAGCTATTGGGGAAATGGATTTAAGGATCCAGGTGTAGTGTTAAATGATTCTCTAATTGTTAGCAAAAGAAAACTCTAACAAGATGATCATGATTTTGCTCTAAAGTTTGGGACTCCTTTAAGTATTCAAGATGCTCTTGGCTTCTTTCCATTATTATGAATTAATTTTTTTTTTTAATAGAAAATGCCTTATGGAGCTTGCAACAGCATCTACAAATCTAGTCTTGGCATACATGGATTTCAGTGAAAAACATGAAACTGCTGTTAAGTATTTTCCGAACAATGAGAAGATTCAAAAGCTGAAGGAAGATGCAATGACTGTTTGTGATGAGCAAAAGATGAGCTCTAAAGCTTTGACTGAAGATATTCCTCTCTCATTTAGCCAAGATGAACAGTATTGGCAAGATCCAGCTGTAATTGAAGCTTGGGATAGGTTTTCGAAGATTTCAGGCAATGACAAGCATGCTGAATCTACAATTTATGCTAGGGTTGATCATTTGATTGAATCAGAACCAATTGATGTTACTAAGATTGCTACTGAATGTGTTCACATAGCAAGTGGTATACCTGATGTTGAAGATCCATCTGTTATCATACAGCCTAAGGTTGCTGAACATGTATTTAAAAAACTTGGAGAGTCAAGTACGAGATATAGTTTAAGAAGTTCAGTTGCCAAAGGATGTGGAACTCCTTCATTCAGCTTAGGAATCTCTTCTCAAGAAAATGATTCTCAAGAGAAGTCCCCTGGCATTGCACCTACTGATGAACCTGTAGTTGCTCCTGTCAGTGCACAAGTTGGTGCTTCTAAATCAGTTGATGATGCTGATGCTGTGAATGCTCAAGAAGACCCAATTGCGCTTAAGAGAAAAGGAGATGCTGAAAATGAGAGTTGTATTCCAAAGAAGCGTAAAGTGCAACCATCGTTGCATATAAGATCTCCTTTTAAGTCTCGAATAATCAACATATATACACCATTAACAGCAGTTCAAAAAGGTGTTATGGATTCATTTTTTCATGAGAAGAAAAATCGTTTGTAAGTATTTATTCAATTTTTTCAGTTCTGGAAATTTTGGCAACTGACTTCATTTTTCTTTCTTATAACAAGTCTAGCTCTATATTCTCACTTTACATATCTACGATTGAAATTATTTTAACTTCCCTAAATCTTATATGTAGTGATGCAGGGTTTTTATGTGAGGGTGAGCCTGATAATGAAGTAATGCTATTTCAACTTGAAATGCTAAAAACTCAGAGCAAAATTCATGGCGATATCATTGATGCATGGTCTACTGTTCTGAATTTTAATGAGCAATATAAAGATGTCAATTCTAGTGGACGTTTCTTTTTCGGTCTTAATGCTGTTGTAAGTTCAACTCGTTCATTTTATTTTGTTTTATTTTGTTCATGTTCACTTTGCTCATTTCATATAATTTTTTTATATTTGAATGTAGATGTTGTTTTGTATTTGCAAAAACTATTATTGTCTTGCGTTTGCTCATTTATCAAATGAGCAATTATTTTTTGCTCATTTGTCAAATGAGCAATTAATTTTTGCTCATTTGTCAAATGAGCAATTAATTTTGATAACAATATAAATTCTGACTTCCTTGGTCTGAATCAATGTATAATCAGTGTTTATGAGTTGTATTATGGTCTAATTTTGGTCCTGCACAATTCGGATTCTTATTTATGACCTGTATTATGGTCTGAATTAGTGACGAGCGAGAATTCACAGACATGCTACATCTATAATTCTATATGTTCTATGTACATCCACCACACTGCCTCACTGGATGAATGTGGAGAGCAGGTTGTAAGTGTTCAGAAAATGAGTCCTGGTTCACTGAGCTATTAGGAATTCCTCAATCAAGATTAGCAAATGAATTTTTGTTGTGTGAATTTTGGAAAGCCAGCAAACTGTTGTATTCAAAACTCATGATATATGCCACAATCACTATATATTAAAGCATGAACTATCATATATCAGATCAATCTTATTCTTTTTAAAATATTAAAAGAACAAGATTAAAGCATAAACTAGCATTAGCATGAACTAACTTTCATATATTAAAGCATGACCTCTAATTACATTCGTAATTCTCATGGCAGATATCTGTGTAAGCACAAATGAGGCTGATAAAATAAAGCTTAAACCAAAGGAATTAATTCTTTATGTTTTTGATGCTATCTGACAACTAACATTCTGCATGTTCTGTAATTACATAAATAATTGAATGATAGCAGCAATTAATTCTTTGCTCATTTGCCAAATGAGCAGTTAATTTTTTGCTCATTTGTCAAATGAGCAAAACATTCACTTGCTCATTTGTAAAAAAAAATTCAATTTACTCATTTTATATGACTTTTCTCGTTTCATATTCACTATACTCATTTGTTATTTACTCTTTTCATTTATATTCATCTTATTTATGTATTTTTCCTGATGTATTTTTTTTAGGATTGCCTTTTTCAATACAAAAGTGATCGTGCTCCAGAAAGGAATAAAATGTTTTGTGAGGTTATGGAGTTGGAATTCAGCAAAACAATCATCCCAAAGAAAGATATTGAGCTTTTCTTTTTCCCAGTATTTGAAAAGGATCATTATTATCTGGTATGTTTTAACACCACCACAGACTGTGGTACAATTGAGGTTATTGATTACAGTGAAGGTCCTAGAGAAAATAAGAAATTGCTTAAAAATCTGGTATGTTTTCTGCCACTTCTTCTTCATCATTAATATCCTCATTGATGCCTGTCATGTTGTTACCAGATTCCTTATTCATGTCTCCTCTCATTATATCACTGGTACCCTAACCCTTTCAGGATTCTCCTTTGAATTTCTCCTTTCTCCCATAACAAGAAAATACACACACACACACACTCACGCACACAGACACACACACACACACATATACACAGGCACACACACACACACACACACACACATACACAGGCACACACACACACACACACATACACACACACGCATACACACACACATACACACTCGCATACACACACGCACACATACACACACACGCATACACACACACATACACACTCGCATACACACACGCACACACACACACACAAGCACACATACAACCTGTAATAGAATATGAAATCAGGTTCTGAAATTAGTTTCTGGAATCAGAATTGTGTAATGTGTGGGTAGGTGGCAGTAATGGCTTAAGATTTTGTTAGGTTATTTTAGAAAAATGATTTGAGTTTAGTTGTTTATCTTGATCTTGTTCTGCTTGTTCTAACTATATTTGTTCCACCTGTTTTTGTTCTTATTTTAACTTATTTGTTCATTTTCAGAAAAGTGCATTTTCATATTTCATGAATGGTGAAGGAAGTATACAAAGTGTTGTTTTGTCAAAACAGATCAAGTCTATGGAGTCTGTTGTGGTTGATTTACCTTGGAAGTCTTCAGATGATAATCATTTGCATTGCGGTGTTGCAATGATTAGGCATATGGAAACATATATGGGTTTGCAAAAGTGGAATTTAGGTTTGAAGTATACCCTCTCAATTATTTCAAGTGAAGTAAATACTGTTAAACCTGTTAAACAAGTTGTCCAAAAGAAAAAAAAGGTTGAGGAAGCAAGTGATGCTGAAGAAAGCTAGGGGCAGCAATCCAAGAGCAATTAACGGAGAGAATTAAAGACTGAAGTTGATCAATTGTTCTTAGGATTTGTATAGTTTTTGTATAGAACAATAGAAGTGTTAGTTTTATGATGTTCTTAATAGGACAAATGTGATAAATGTTCTTAGTTGATCTAATGTTTTTATGATGTTAGGATTTTCTAAGTATAACTTTTGCTATGTCAATGTAATGGATATCATTTTCTATCTTATTGACTAAGTTGTTTGTCATTTGTTAAATTGTTGATTAACTATTTGCTCATTTGACAAATAAGAAACTAACTATTTGCTCATTTGACAAATGAGCAACTAACTATTTTCTCATTTGCCAAATGACCAAATAAATATTTGCTAATTTGACAAATGAGCAACTAACTATTTGCTCATTTGCGAAATGAGCAAAGAAATGTTTCCTTATTTTTTAAATGAGTAACTAATTATTTGCTCATTTAAAAAAATGAGGAAACTAATGCTTACTCATTTCACAAATGAGCAAAGAAATGGTTGTTGATTTAATGTATTATTAAAAGGAATGTTTACTCATTTAACAAATGAGCATTAACTATTTGCTCATTTCAACAAAATTAAAAACACAAAATGCTAAATCTTATATTTATATAAAAATATTAACTTTTATATTTGTATAAAAGTATAATTATACAAATATCAGCAAATATCTAGTTAATTTAGCCTCTATGATTTTGAAGATTAGGGTATGTTGGGTTGTTCTCTTTACTGAACTCATTGTATAATATCTTGGATTGGACTATTTCTGTTACCAAGGACATTAGAATAGCTTTGGTATAATTACATGTGTGTATGATAGATAACAGAGCTTGCAAAATATTTGCTCATTTCAACAAAATTTAAAACACAAAATGCTAAATCATATATTTATATAAAAATATTAACTTTTATATTTGTATAAAAGTATCATTATACTTTGTTTGGACAATTTCTAATATCATGATGACTCAATTCACCACAACCTCTACATAATCTCTTCTTTTTCTGGTTTTGTTCTACAGCCTTTTCTTTTTCTCTCTTCAGCCTTTTTGCACTTCTACCTCTTGTTTCAACATTTGGCACATCAATCTCAACCCCTTTCTCTTTTGAAGTCTCTACATTTGATACATGAATTCCAGTCCCTTTATTCTTTGAAATTTTTGGAGGTTTGACAATTATTTCAGTTGGCACACTAGCTCCAATCAATAGCTCAATGTCTTGTCCTTTGTTGTTTGCACTTCATGTTGTTTCATTATTCCTTGCAATCCTCTTAGCCTCCAAATCCTTTCTTATTCCTTGAAGATTTATCACAAGATCTTGAATATCTTCATCATTGCCTTCTGCCAAACTTACACAAGTGTGTATCTCTGACCATAAATCATTTAACAATTTTTTCTTGTCAATTAAATTAGCACATTGCTCCAACAGGTTTCCACCCAAGTCAAAAATTGGTTTTTTTAGTGCCATAGTAGTCCATCTGTGTAGCATATACTGCTCAGGAATGGTTTCAAACCTTTTTGCTTTCCAAACCCAAATCATATGTCTACATGGAATTCTTTGTCTATAAAATAGCTTGCAAGAACATGTGGTGTCATAGTTAGTTGGATTAAACACAACATCAAATGTTCTAATCCGATTTCCTTCACTTACTTTTGCAACTTCCAATCCATTTTCTTTCTTCAATTCATCAACACCATAAGAAAAACAAGCAATTTCAACCTCATATTGAAATTCATAAAAGACAGAGTTAGTATATAAATGTGAGACATGCTTTTCTATCCCTAGTGGTGTTTTGCACTCAGGATATTTGTGCTTTGAAACATTATCATTCTGACCTTGAGTGTGTCTCTGGGCATCAATTGCAGCTTCATATCTCAAGTAAAACTCAACAAGTGACACATGAGGATTGATAAAGGAGCAGAAAAAGTTGTTTTCGCTTTCGGATCTTGATGTTGTACGCATTATTCCTCCAAGGAACACATCTCTGAAATACGTCGGAATCCACTTGTTCCTTATCTTGTACATATAACCTAACCACTCATGTTCTTCCAAGTGGTATTCAACCATCACCTTGTTCCACCTTTCTTCAAACTCAGTAGGTTCAATTTTAAGATGCCAAACACAAGCACATAAGTTTTTTAGGAAACCAGTTTCTTCTTGCATGATTGATTTCTCCACCTTATCTGGTAACTTTTTCATTATGTGCCACATACAGAAGCGATGTTCAGTCTTGTTAAACACACTTTTAACAGCAATTTTCATTGCTGGATCTTGATCTGTAATCATACAATTCGGTTCATTTCCACCCATTGCCTTGAGAAATGATTTGAACAACCACTCAAATGACACTATATCTTCCTTTGCTATGAAACCAGCAGCAAAAGTAATGCAGCTCTTATGATGGTCAACCCCTGTAAATGGAGTAAACACCATGTTGTACCTGTTTACACATACAGATTAAATTTTAAATGATCAAATAACTACACACACACATAAATACATAGACACACGTACTTAGACACAGACACACACACACACGCACACACACATACACATACATACACGAACTCACAATCTGTAATAGAATCTGAAATCAGATTATGAAATCAGAATTGTCATCAGCTACTGAAATAATTTAATGCTCATTTGACAAATGGGAAAATAATTGATTGCTCATTTGTCAAATGAGCTTATAACTCAATGCTAATTTGTGAAATAAGCAAACAATTGTTTGCTTTTTTGTCAAATGAGCAAATAATTGAATGCACCTTTCTGAAATGAGCAAATAAGTCAATGCTCATTTGTGAAATAAGCAAACAGTTATACTAAGTTCATTTAAAACAAAGTTATTAATTTAAGCTATAGTTATAACATAAAAATGATTTGTGATTTTTATGAATTACCTATTTGTTTGGTATGTGGTATCAAAGGATACCAATCACCAAATAGAGCGTAACTCTTTTTACAAAGGGGATCAGCCCATAATGCTCTACAAAGGCAATAATCTTCATCCATCTCAAAATCAAAGAAAAAAGCGCTCCACATTAGCTTTTTGTTGGTAAAGTTATCCACGAACATTTGAGCATCACTTCCTTGAATGTATGCTTTCAAATCTCTATGAAATTTTTTGAAATCTTGCTTATATGCACTGATGTTATCATATCCTCCAACAATTTCCTTCATCATTCAAAAAGTTGTAACAGGACCAATATTCACCTATTTAAAGAACAAAACAGTTTGTCAAATGAGCAAATAATTTAATGCTCATTTTTAAAATGAGCAAACAATTCAATTATTTGCTTGCTCATTTGAACAATTTAATGCTCATTTTTCAAATGATCAAACAATTTAATGCTCATTTTTCAAATAAATAAACAGTTAAATGCTCATTTTTCAAATGAGCATACTACTTTTATTAGAACATTCAGAGAATTCATGAAACATAAGAGACTTTGAAAGTCGTACCTTAGAATTATTCACAATTATTTTTTTGTGCAATTCTTCCTTCTTTTTGGAAGAGATTGCAACTAGGTGTATAAAGTGGATGAGTATGTCCCTCATGAAATTGTGACACTATGAATTTGTTATCATCACAATGCTTTAGGACAATATGTGCCTTGCACCCAACACGAGTAACGAGTCTCTTCCTTTTGATTGAAGTTTTTTCTTCATTGCTTTCTCCTTCGTTGTTATTTAAATCTTTTTCAACAATAGGCTTTCTTTTCTCTTTGTATCCTTCTTTATTGCATAAGATATACTGTGATTTCAATTCTTTGCTTCTTCTTTGCCTTTTAGTTGTAGACTTTCTTGTGTTGAATCCAGCAGCAAATGCGTATCTTTTATAAAATTCAAGGCCCTCTTCAAGATTATTAAACTTCATCCCTATAGCTGGTTTCAACTCATTGGGGCATATTGGAAGCCATTCTTTTGTTCCTCCAGGAGTGAGCAAAGGTGCTATTTTAAGAGAAACTACTATTGTAGGAGTAGTTGCCACATTTGTGATGGTACTAGAATGACTGTCAAGTTCTTCGTTGTTGCTCATCATTTCTGACATTAAATATAATAGAAATAACAGGTTAGTAACAATTCCATAAAATAGTTTAAGGAAGCTCATTAAAAATCTCATATGTGCTGCTGAATCATGTTTTTAACCATACTAATTACTACTTACAGCATAACTCTTACACTTACTCACATACACACACACACACACAATAATTTCATAATCTAAAATAGATTTGAAATCAGATTCAGAAATCAGAATTGCAAACAGAAAGATGAGAGGGGAGGGGGGAATAGGTTTGTATAAGGAAGTGTAAGAAGGGAGTGTGGTTGGTGTGCAGGAAACAGAATTATATTTGCTCATTATAGGTTTTTTATATTATTACAAATATTTAGGTTTGCTCATTTTCAATTCATTTGCTCATTTTAAATTTGATTGCAAATTTCCAATTTCTATCAAATTAATCAAACCTAAATTTGATGAGTACAATTACAATTTTACAACAAATTTAAAAGATTAATTCTATGAGTACGACGAAAGTAGTCATACAATATCATACTTTGTATATATATAAAATTAACATTATATTATATGTTTACCTCAAAAATAAAAAAATATCATGCAATTAACATGCAATTCAATAACCTGGTGATTAATGCAATTAAATATGCAAATTAATAAGAACAGAGCAAACCAAAAAATAAAAAATTATCATCCAATTAACATGCAATTCAATAACCTGGCGAATTTGATTTGTAGCAACGATTGCAATCGCGATTAGTAATATAGCGCAAGGCGAGCAAGGTCGGTGTTAACTTGCTTATGATTACTTTGATGAAGCAATTGATGAAGCAATTTGAAGCAATTCAAGGCGAGAAACATCGTTACTGATTAGGCGCCATTGATGAAGCTCGTGGTGGAGAGAGAAGTTAGTTAGCTAGGTGGAGAAAGATGAGAGTTAGGTGTGACTTTAGGAGTTTTATGTGATTAATCACATGCGTTGGATTGAATACAATTTGATGGCAGAGATTGGTTCTCACATATAGGATGTGTTCTCACATAGAAGGTGGTTCTTGATTAGGGGATTTTTATCCACCAATCACCATCTGACAAGTGGACCAGTCAGGTACCGCCATGTGTCCGCCACATGGGCTAATAGGAGCCTGCCACGTGTCAACCATATATTCGTCCTCCGTGAACCAATTGCGACACGACACGTGTCCATTCATGCCAAAAGGATAAATCAGCCAACAAGGCCCAATCTTTGGGAAGCCCAGTCAGCCTTAGGTTTAACCTAAACCTAGTATTGGCACGCATCCCAAGGAATATAAATATGCCCATTAATCCTCATTAAGGGGGATTTTAGGCACATTTAACACTCTCACCTAGAGAGACTAAATTACATTTCCGCATTAATTACTCTTTAATCAAGTACTAACTTGACCGTTGGAGGCGGATCTCCAATCATCCGGAGCATCCGTTTTTTTTGCAGGTACAGGCGTCTGGTTCTAGTCTCGAAATTATAACTCTCCCGCAGGACATCAGAAAACCCCGAAACATCTTGGCGCCATATGTGGGGAGAGTACTTTTGAGATGGCATCCACGTCTGCACCGACTCCTGAAGAGAGGCGTCCCTTGGACGACCCTCAAGTTCGGTCGGACCATGATACTGAAGAAGAGTTTGAAGTTGAAGCTCATACAGCTTCAGACGGGACCCTAAGGGCCCGGCGCACCCGTCATACCGAAAGGAGAGAACGGAAAGATCCTAAACTAGACTCAGTGATCCAGTCGGCGCACCGTCTGGTCACCAGCAGCCGGCTGACGGATCTGCTCCCATTACAAGGACCGAACTCATGATCTTCAATAAAAAGACGCCTGCTCTAGTCAAGGAGCAGTCGGCTAAGAAACCTTCCTCTTCAGGGAAGAGGAAGCCTGTTCAAGGGCGAAAGGCGACCCCTCATCCTAACTCTAGGAAGTGGGAGCCGCCTGTCCTTGATTTCACAAAGTATCGCTTTCCTTCTCCAGGAAAGAGGAACCTGTTCGTCATATTCAGGCAGATGGGTCGAAGAAAACATACACAGACGCTCGGCTATTGCTAGAGCATAAGAAGAATGACCGACTGTCAGAATCGGCCTCTACTTCGGATTTTCAAGACAGTCTACGCAATAATTCTACGAGGTATACTCAGTCACATCATGAGAGTCAGACAGGCGGTACCTCCCGCCAGTTTAGTTTTCATAGTGACTAGGCGGTACCAAACTTACCATTTGTACCACAACAATACTTCTTGCAGCCACCTCTGTTTGGAGGACATGCGGCAAAAAATGTCCAACCTATGGACTGGCAGCTACGGTTGCTTAGACTTGGGGAACAGCCGTCGGCCTTCTCCAAGGAAATTACTGATGCCGCTCAGCCGGCCAAAGTGAAAAATGTGTTAGTAGGCGCCTATGACGGCACTACTAACCCAGAAGAACATTTGATGGCATTCACCAACCTGATGTACCTTCAAGGTTTGGATGATCCCACTTGGTGCAAGTGTTTTCCAGCGACTCTTAAAGGAATCGCACAACAATGGTTCGACAACCTGCCGACTGGTTGTGTGAATAACTTCAGGACGCTTGCTTACTTATTCACCTCCAACTTTGCCATGAACATACCTGCGAAGAAAACAACCCTTGATTTAGGGACAATTCAGCAGGGTGAGAAGGAGGGGCTTCGTTCTTACATCAGGCGGTTTAACCTGATGAGAATACAGATTCAAGGGCTACCGGATGAGGTGGCCTACACTGACTTTTTTAGAGGCCTCAAAAGACGGGTCGACCTTCAAGTTTGATCTGGTTCGAAAGAGGGTGGCGACTCTTCAAGAAGCTTTGATTGAAGCAGAAGCCTATATACAGGCGACTGATCTTTGTAGTACGGGAAAACAGTCGGACGGGAAGAGATTCGACAAAAAAGGACGACAGAAACAGTCGTCCAACAAAGATGAGAAAAAGAGAAAAGAGGTCTGGGCGGCTGATTCCTCTAAACAGCCGGCCCAAAAAAAGAGGAAAGAATTCAAACCATACTCCCTGAAGTATGCGTTTAACAAGGATAGCCAAGCTATCCTAAAGGAAATCAAGGGACGGATCTCAATTGAGAAGCCGGCCCCCATGAAGGGTTCTGCGAGCAGTCGGAACCAAGGAAAATTCTGTGATTATCATGAAGATGTTGGTCATGAAACCAACGAATGCATCAGTCTCATGTGATATCTGGACCGCCTGGCTGAGCAAGGCGATCTTGACTCTTATGTCAAGAAATCCAAGGGGAACTCTTCCTCGAAAAAGCAGTCGGTCAAAAAGAATCAACAGGCCGACAGTTCTGATACAGATGATGCAGTCGTCTACACCATTGCAGGCGGTTTCTCAGGAGGCGGCCCCACTATTAAGGGCAACAAAGACAATATCAGGCGGCTAGACGTCAATACCGTTCACCAAGAACGGTCCTCCAAATATTCATTTCCTGAAATTGTAATCACTGAAGAAGATTTAGGAGGGGTAAGAGGGCCGCATGACGACCCTATTGTTATTGAATGTAAAGTGGCCAACCAGAGGGTTGGTCGAATCCTCATAGATACCGGCAGCTCCTCAGATCTTATCAGTAGCAAATGTCTGTCAAAGCTCAAATATCAGACTGATTGCATACATCCGGTGTCCCACCCTCTAGTAGGGTTTGGAGGAGGAGTCGTCCACCCAGTGGGACGAGTGGATTTACCCATCCGCCTGGGTGAAAAAGGGGAAGGTCGACACATGGTGGTCCGGTTCTTGGTAGTTGAGGAACTCTCGGCCTACAACATGATTCTAGGACGACCAACCCTGAATAATTCCAAGGTTGTTATAATCCCGTCTCTTATGTTGCTCAAGTTTGAGAGGGATGATGGAACAGTCGGCTCCCTACGGGGAGATCAGAAGATGGCCCGAGAATGCTATCTCTCGGATATCAAGCCCACTGTCATGGCCGCTGGGTCAGGTGGTGGAAAAACAGACCTTGACAATGTCAAGGAGAGTGCGCCTGTTCAAGAAGCAGGCGGCAAGAAGAGAAAGGCTGCCCAGATGGGGGCCGCAAGAAAAGAGAAAAAATATCAGTCATTGGCAGAGGAGCGGTCAGATGAATTCCGCCCTCATCCGGCTGGTGAGCATACGGACCTGATCCTAGACGACTCGCGCCCTGACCGAACAGTCAGGGTTGGGACGACTGCTCTGAGAATTCTGGGTGATAACTTTCACCAACTTTTGAAAGAATACAAAGACATCTTTGCATTCGAAGTCCATGAAATGCCAGGCATCAGTCCTAACCTGGCGGTACATAAACTGGCCATGGATCCAAAAAAGAAGCCGATAAGGCAGAAAAAGCGGAACCATAGCGAAGAAAGAAGTCAGGCGGCAGCCTTCGAAGTTAAGAAATTACTGGATGCAGGGTTCATTCGGCAACGTTACTTCCCAGACTGGGTTGCAAATGTAGTGTTTGTTAAAAAGCCGAATGGTACTTGGCGAATGTGTGTGGACTACACGGACCTAAACAAGGCGTGCCCAAAGACAGTTACCCTCTACCTAAAATTGATAATCTGGTCGACTCAACAGCCGGCCATGCTCTGATGAGTTTTATGGACACCTATTCTGGGTTCCACCAAATTCCTTTATGGAAGAAAGATCAGGAGAAGACGGCCTTCGTCACTGATCAAGGGTTATACTGTTACACGGTCATGCCGTTTAGTCTGAAGAATGCACCGGCCACCTTCCAGCGAATGATAAACACTGTGTTCTTTGACCAAATTGGGAGGAACGTCGAGGCATACATTGATGATATGATTGTTAAGTCTAAGCTTCAGATAGATCATCTGTCGGACCTCCGAGAAACTTTCGCCATACTTAGGCGGCACCATGTCATGCTCAATCCCAAGAAATATGTATTTGGAGTTGAGTCTAGGAAATTTCTCGAATTCCTTATCAATCAGAGAGGAATAGAGGCGAACCCTGAGAAGGTGCAAGCGGTCATCGACATGTAGTCGCCTCGCACCGTCCGAGAGGTTCAGAAATTAACAGGTTGTCTGGCGGCCTTGGGAAGATTTTTAAGCCGATCAGGCGACAAATGCTTATACTTCTTCCAGGCCATTAAGAAAAAGGCAAGGTTTGAATGGGGGTCGGATGCTGAGGCGGCCTTCCAAAAATTGAAGGTTCATTTGCATTCCTTGCCGAGGCTGGTCAGTCCTTTGCCCAAAGAAGTACTTTACATGTACTTGGCCGTCTCTGATCATGCTGTAAGCGCGGTTCTTTTTGCTGAAAGAGACGGCTGCCAGCTCCCGGTTTACTTTGTCAGTCATGTACTGAAAAATGCTGAGTTGAGGTATCCTTTAGTGGAGAAATTTGGTCTCGCATTCTTCATGGCTGTTAAAAAATTGAAGCCCTACTTTTTGGCACATGCAGTCGTCGTGTATACAGATCAACCTATCAAGCGGCCACTGACCACCATGGAGTCGTCAGGCTGGATGATCAAATGGGCCATAGAAATTCAGATCCTCGAAGTTACATTTGAGCCTAGAAAAGCAGTGAAGGAACAAGCCTTTGCTGATTTTATTGTTGAGATGACTCCTTCCCCTGACTCTCAAGCTCCAGACCAAGTCTGAAAGGTATATGTGGACGGAAGCTCTACTTCAAATGGTTGTGGAGCAGGCGTCATATGTCAGTCGCCGGAGGGCGACAGGTATGAGTATGCTCTAC